AAGCAAGACATAGTTCCATGTGTTTGTCCGGATGATATCATGAGAACAGAGGATTATGTGATCACTTGTCTTAAAAATGGCGCTTCATAGTTCGACGGAGTTTTCGAGAGCTACGATTGCTGGTTGGTTCCTGAAGTTATATAGGCAAATACAGTTATTAGACTTATCCAAGTGGGAGTCTGTTGGATAAGGTGTCTAAGTCCATAACTTATTTGGTATATACTTGACCCGACCGGCATGGTCCATTTGGGTTGCATCTCATCCAAACTATTTATGGATAATTTTATGAGAGTTATACACATATGTTTATTAATATATTATAAGTTATAATATATTAATATGAAGTTATGTTATTTAATTAGTTTTAGTCTTAAATTAATTATAAATTAATTTAGAGATTAAAATGAAGACTAATTAGATTATGGGCTATTGATTTTATATGGTGTGGGCTAACACTCATTTGTTAATGGGCTAAGCTTGGATGGAAGTCCATGGATGATCCATGGAGCTTTCAACCCATGGATCCTTGGAAAGGAAAAGACATGGGTTATTAGGGTTTCACCCTAACCATGCACACTATATAAGCATGCTTATGAAGCATGAAATGGCAACTAGTGAACTAGTGTGTGTAAGCTTGTGTGTGGCCGAAATTATACAAGTGTGTATACTCTCTCAAAGTTTTCCAAGAGTTTGTGGTGTTTTGTGATTCCATTTGAGGCATTCACACTATTGGTGCTTGGCCCTCAAACTCCTTAGAACCAAACTCATCAAAAGGTATGTAATCTCTTCTAACTCTTTTATGTTGAAATGTTCCCCATGCCATGTTAGATAGGTTATAAACCTTGGAAAATTTATTATTTTGCATGTATTTAGACAAAAATAGATCCAAGGTTTATTAGGGTTGCATGCACACTTAGGAAGTGTAGATTGCTCAAAACCCAACAACATTTCTATTAGTGGGATTGACATTTCTCACTTATTTTATGCTGATGATGCTATCATTGTGTCTTCATGGGATCCTGTTAATGTTTCCCGTATCATTCGTATTCTTCGATGTTTTTACTTAGCCTTGGGTCTTAAGATCAATTTGCAAAAAGGTAAGTTGATTGGAGTGGGAATTCCTTATGATCAGGTAAATGTGGCGGCTAGTAAGGCTGGTTATGATCCTGCTTCTTGTCCTTTCTTTCACCTTGGAGTCCCAGTTGGCCAGAATATGACTCGAATATCTTCTTGGTCTTGTGTTGTTGATCGTTTTCGCTTTAAACTTTCGAGACGGAAATAAAAAAGCCTTTCATATGGTGGTCGTCTTTCGTTGATCAAGTCTGTTCTTGGAAGTCTCGGCGGTTACCTAATGTCTATCTTCATGGTACCGACCTCCGTTGTTAACACCTTGGAGTCTCTGTAGGCTAGTTTTTTTTGGGGTGCTGACTTAGATGAAAGATGCATGCATTGGGTTTGGTGGGATAGAGTTTTAGCTCTGAGAAACAAGGGGGGGGGGGGGGCTCGGTATTGGTATCTTGTTTTCTTTCAATCGGGCTTTACTTTTCAATGGCGCTGGAGATTTTTTAATAATCCAGATTTGATTTGGGTAAAGGTTGTCAAAGCTATTTATGGTCTTGATGGGGGTTGCAGCTCCCTTTCTCAGAGGAGAGGGATGACTGATCCTTGGAAAGGCATTATTTGGATGTTGGTTCAGTTAAAAAACTGTGGGCTTGATCTCCAACCTTTTTGTCTTATTAGGATTGATGATGGGGCTAGAACTTCTTTCTGGTAGGATGTGTGGAAGGGAGATGTCCCCATTGTTGCTTCTTTTCACAGTATTTTTGCTATCGATCCTCATAAATTGATATCGGTCCGTGATAAAGTTCTTCTTGGATGGGATTCCACTCTTCTTCGACGACCTCCTAGAGGGGGTATTGAGGAAAATCAATGGGTTGCTTTTAATTCATTAATGCAGGATGTGCTTCTTCATCCCATTCCCGACCGATTGGGGTGGACTATTGATGCTTCTGACTCCTTTACTATTTCCTCTCTCAGAGTTTTTTTTTGGATAGTCACACGTTATGTTTGGGGGGTTATGAAACCCGTTGGAATACTTAGGTCCCTATCAAAGAGAATATTTTCATTTGGAGATTGCAGCTTTGAAGTATCCCGACTAGAGAGAATCTCTCTCTTCGTGGGATCACTTTGGATTCGATTCTTTGTCCGTTTTGTTCCCATACCATTGAATCTATTGAACATCTTTTTACCGATTGTCATCAGCTGATTGAGATATGGACCCGTGTTGCTATTTGGTGGGGCGTCCAAACTCCTATTAAGTGCTCTATTGATCATCTTCTTTCATGTTCGGATTCTCTTTCGTTAAAAAGGGGGCAATGTCAAGCCTTTGAAGCGGTCATCTTCATTACGTTATGGTGTTTATGGAATTTTCGAAATTTCACAATTTTTGGAACGACACTTCCCAAAAAATCATTTATTTTAGATGAGGTTATCGATAGGTCTTTTTTTGGATTACTAATAGGTGTAGTAAAGCTAAAAGTAGTTGGACCTCCTGGTTACATAATCCTCTTTCAGCTTGTAATTTGTTGTGATGACTTTCTTTTTGTAGCTTCTTGCTAGTTTTCTAATAAAATCTGCAGTTCAATTTTTTTTTAATAAATCAACTTTATCTTTAATAAAAAGTAAAATAAAATATATCAAAATATTTTATTGTTTTTTCTCTACAAAATAAGACCATAATTGATATAGTTTTGTAAATATAAAAGTTTAATATAAAATAGATTGGGTTGGGTTGCTAATGAGTGTAAAAATTTGAATTGGGTTGGATTGTACATGTGTAAGAGAGATAAATTGGTTTTTTATAGAAAAATTGGATTGAGTTGGATTATTAACAGGGATAGTCTTAGATCTCCTACCATATGATTATTAAATGCTGATAGTTAACAATCTACAACTTATCTCGATGTCCAACAATTATAGCTAAATAATCATAAGGGATAATATCACTGTAGCACATGGAACTTTCTTCAATTGGCTAATTGGGTCCTTAAAGTTTTTTTTGGTACATTAGGCCAATAAACTCGTAAGTGACCTTTGAATTACACCATTTTATCAAGTTTTAGAAGGTTTCCTGGTTAAACTTTTATATATGTGAATTAATATATATTTTTTGTTTAATCCAATGCCATGTGAGATATGCCACGTCAATTAATGATATAAGAAGCTTAAATCCTATCGTCTTCAACTATCGAACTTCAGTCGTCTTTATTATTGAGTTGTAAAAGAAACCGAGTTAGGGTTTGTGAAGCATTCCTGTGATCGAGCTGAAGAAACAATGAAGTCGCAACAATGGCACAATTGGAACCTAATGGATTGTGTTTGATGGTGGAACTTAACTACCAAGGGGCATTTAATCGAAATCCTTTATCTTACACTGGTGGTGTGAAAACCATGTTCACTGATGTTGACTTTTCTTCTATGACTTATTATGAGTTTGTGATCTTCTACGAACCTTTCATGCATAAAGAGTGTAAAAAGTTTTACTACTATGAACCAGGCAATTCCCTGATGGAAGGGCTTAATCCCATTTCAAATGATGTGGAATATGCTGCTTTGATTTTTGATGCTTATGGAACAGATGGTGTAATTTCGGTTTATGTGGATCATATTCGGGTTGGTGTTGATGGGTGGCTTGATGATGAAGATAATGATGATGATGAACATGCGTCTTGTATTGATGGTGAAAATGAAGATAACATAGATGAACTTAGGAAGGTTGCCTTTGAAATTAATGAGGATGTAGTGCATATGAATAGGACATCAAATGATCCTTTCTTGAGTAAGTTATGTGTTGATGATGAGGAGCATAACTACATTGTAGATGATGACAATAGGAGAGAAGTTGAACTTAACATTCAAACTCATTCCATATTTAATGAGCTATTACACTAGAAAAAACAAAAACCAATTCTCAGGATGAGATTTAAGGGTCCAGGGAAAGTAAAATCAATGTTGTGTAACTATGCTGTAGCTAATGGATATCAATTGTGTTTTGAAAAAAATGATAGGACAAGACTTTTGGTGAGGTGTAGCAAGGGTGCTTGCACATTTAGATTATGGGCTTCTTGGATGAGTGATGAAGAGAGTTTCCAAATCAAGTCACTAAAACCTGATCATAATTGTGCTAGGAACTTTAAGTTTGGATCATTGGTAACATATGCATGGATTGGAAGTCACTATACCAAAGAGATTGTACAAAGTCAGAAAATAAGTGTAAGGAAGCTTAGGTTGAAGGTAATGGCTAAGTTTGGTATCCAAGTTAGTATGGGGAAATGTAGAAGAGCATAAAAGTATGCACTGAAACTTGTTGAAGGTAGCCTTGTTGAACATTATGGTAAGCTATGGTCATATGATCATGAGATTCTAAGGACAAATCCCGGATCAACTGTGAAACTACATATGGAGGATGGTCCAGATGGAAAGAAATATTTTAGCAAGTTTTATTGATGTTTTCAAGGAGTTAAACAAGGTTGGATTGAAGGGTGTAGAAGGATAATTGGTCATGATGGATGTTTTCTTAAAGGTGTTTGTAAAGGGGAATTGCTTTGTGCTATTGGGAGGGATGCAAATGACAAGATATATCTTATTGCTTGGGCAGTGGTTAATGTGGAGAACAAGCAAAATTGGAAGTGGTTTTTAGAGCTTCTCATTGATGATCTAAACTAGAATTTAGGCAATGGTTTCAGTTTAATGTCACACCAACATAAGGTTAGTATTTTACATAGTAATGCATTTATATTTATTTACACTATCTGAATTAAACCTTTGTACTACTACAGGGTTTGATAGAGGCTGTTAAAGAGTTGCTGCCATATGTAGAGCACATGCAGTGTGCTAGACATATTTGCCAGAATTTGTAGAAGAGATTCACTGGTGCCATATATCACACCTTGTTTTGGAGAGCATCTAAATCCACAACTGAGCATGCTTTTAAAGTTGTGATGAAAGAAATTAAGACATTGAACCCAGATGCCCATCAATATCTCATGGAGAAAGATCCTAAAACATGGTCAAGAGATTTCTTTCAAACTGGAAGGTGTTGTGATGCAGTTGAAAATGGGTTCTCAGAAAGTTTTAATGCTGTAATAGTAGATGCTAGGAAGAAGCCCATAATAACCATGTTGGAGGAGTTAAGATTATACATGATGGACATTATCTACAACAAGAAATTAAAGGGACAACAATGGGGAAATCATATTTGTCCAGAGATAAGCGATAATATGAATTTGCTTAAAAAAGCTCAAAGGCATTATCAGGTACTACCAAGTGGATTAAACCAGTTTGAGGTAAGGGGAGGAATAGATGCATATGAGGTGGACTTAGAAAGGTTGTGGCAATTAAATGGATATGGATGTGCTCATTCTGTAGCTAGCACATTCTTTCTTAATAGGGATGTAGAAGCCTATGTATACAACATGTTTAGCACAACCACATTTAGGAAGGCATACAATTACATAATTGCTCCCATGAATAACAGTGACATGTGGCCAGAGACAAACTATACTCCACCATTGCCTCCTATTAGTAGAAGGATGCCTGGTAGGCCAGCTACTAAGAGGAAGAAATCCACTACAGAGAATCAGGAACACACAAGGTTTCTAAGGCTGGAAAGAAAATCATATGTAGTAATTGCAAGGAGATAGATCACAACAAGGCCACTTGTCCATAGAGAAGGCCCCAAAAGTTAAATGAGAAGAAACAGAAGAAACAAAAAGTTTGTGTGAAGCAAAATGCAGGATAGGTAAAACCATTTAAAATTTAAATTTATTTACATATGATTTGTTACTAACATAATTATATCATGCCATATAGGGTAGTACAAGTGAACCACAACAACATGAAGAGGTTGAAATGACTCCAATTGAGATGGATACTACTCAAAATGATATGCAAGTTACTCCTACTGATGTTGAATCCAGTAGTGCATGGGATTTTAGTCATTCTATGTAATTTACTCCACCTAGAAGTTATGAAGGTGATGAGAGTGTTGTGGGTGAGGAAGCTGATGTGGTTGTGGAAGCTGTTGTGGTTGAGGAAGTTGTTCAAGATGAGGAGGCTGAGGAGGTTGATCCTGTTATCCATGTTGATAATGTTAATGTTCAGGAGGTTGATGAGGTTAATCCTAATTCCCAAGTTGATAATGTTAATGTTCAGAAGGTTGCTCCTATTATCCAGGTTCAACAAGTAAAGGTTAGGCTAATTTAAGAGATTTTGAAGAGGATAAGGAGAAGAAAGTCAGAGAGAATATTGAAGCTGAAATTAGGCAAAACAATTGGTGGTGTTGATGATCCAGGAAATTCAAAGGGAAAAGCTCTTGTAATTAATTAGTGTTTATTGTAATTTGGATTTAAAGTTTACGTAATAGGATAATGGTAATTTGGATTTAAAGTTTATGTAATAGGATAATGGTAATTTATATTTAAAGTTTATGTAATAGGATGAAGGTAATTTGAATTTTGGTCAGTAATGGATAATTTGGTCATTTCAGTATGCATGAAAGAAAAGGGTATTTTGGTCATTTAAGTATGTATGACAGAAAAGGGTATTTTGGTCATTTATTTATGTATGACAGAAAAGGGTATGCTGGTCATTTATTTATGTATGACAATAAAAGGTATGTTGGTCATTTAAGTATGTATCACAGAAAAGGGTAATTTGGTCATTTATTTATGTATGATAGAAAAGGGTATTTTGGTCATTTGTTTATGTATGCCAGAAACGGGTATATTGGTCATTTATTTATATATGACAGAAAAGGGTATGTTGGTCATTTATTTATGTATATGGTTTTATAATGGCTTCACATGTCCCATTTTTTCATTATTAAAACACCCACTGACTAGTAACTACAAGTGGTCCCCATACACATAGTGTACTTTCACATGGACCACTTCCTCATTTGTTCCCAAATTTAAAACATGCACAACAACTAATCTAATTAAATATATTTGTTGGGAATACAGACCATGCATATGTTTGATTAACATCAACATCTTATTATACAAAATGCCATACTATTGGGACTTTGAATATTTTTTTTACATTACTTATCATATGCCCTTTCATATAAAATGCCCATCATTACTTACTTTCTAGTATGCCTTTACAAAAAATACAAGGGATCCCAAAAAACATAAGCTTACACTAACCAACCTAAATAACTACAATCACCCCTAACTTCAAAACACATACGGCCAAGCAAGCAAACAACAGGAAACTATCATCATATACCTGCCTATTGCCTTCCTTGCATCATGAAATTCTTTCTCACTCTTTACCACCTTATACTGCTCCTTTCACTGCAGCAACTCCACTTCAACAATCCTTCTCCTCAAATTGTTCATCTCAGACAGTTCCTCTTTGGCATCCAGTTTCTGCTTCAGAGAATATAATAGGTTTTTGTAGTACCTGTCTGTCTGTTCTTCATATTTCCATTCAAAGAAGCTACATTTCCTCAACCTAGTCTTTAGAAAGCCAATAAAATTAGGGTTTGATTCACAATCACAAATCAATTACCTTTAATGTACCAACGAAATGGGTTTTATTCACAGTGATCGTCAAGAAGCAAATAAAATTACGGTTTTTAATAGATTAAACAAAATACAAATACACCATTATCATCTTTACAAAAAGAAACAACACATCAAACCATAAAATACTAACTTATCAAAATCAGGAGAATCGGGACCTATCATACTGTTTTGACAATTCTAGAATCGCCTCCCAGGGTTTTTTTTTTATCTTCCAACACGTTCGTTCTTTAGCTGGAACGACACAATCACAAAGCTTTACCCCTTCTTGCGACTAAACATGAGTGACTTGTAGCTGATTCCTTGACGTCAATAAGCTCGAAGATATTCTTCTTCAAGATGGAAATAGTCGGGGAGGGGGAAGTCTTTGACTTTTCAGAGAAGGGTAAGTAAAGATTTAATGAAGGTGTGAATGAGGGTTTGAATTAATAGGCATATATCGACAAAAGGACTTCTTCGACATATAAGCTTCCCATGTAAGCTTATTGGACACATAACCATTGTAAATGGGAAACCTTCTAAAACTTGATAAAATGGTGTAATTAAAAGGTCACTTACGAGTTTACTGGCCTAATGTACAAAAAAAAACTTTAAGGACCAAATTAGCCAATTGAAGAAAGTTCTATGTGCTATAGTGACATTATCCCTAATAATAAATGGTGGCCTATGGTTTTTGTTTGCAAAAATGGGGTTGTGGCCCCACTTCCTAGCATACTTTTTTATATAGTTACATAAATGGACCTTGTTGTTTTATGATTCATTACATATTTATCATTTATAATATATATGTATCTTTTTCTCTCTTCATTAATTTTTTTACATAAAATCATTTTATTATGAATATATTATTAAATATTATATATAGTATTTAATAATTTATACGACTAAAAGTATCTTATTAATATTTTCAAATCAATACCAATATTTAATATTACAAAAACTATAGATACGATAATATAAACACATAATTCTCATCATGTTGATAACACTAAAACATTATGGTATCAATTTAACATGAAATTACAAAAAGTAAAAATACATAAGTTTTACAATATCAAATAAACTTGAAATTACGAGATCAATAAAAAAAGAAATGGTTTACGTCGCATTAAACATTGGTTAAGAATTCAGACAATTTTTTCGATTATGACTAGGCTAGTGAGATCCCACATCTACGAGGTTCATCGGGATGACGAATTTCCATTTCATTACGAATATGATTTGCAGTACTCCGACCTCGAGCAGTGCAAAGTTTTTAGTAATTAGCTTCAATCGCTCAATTCGAATCCAACCGACATTCAACATGAGGAAGTGGTGCAAAACAAACATTATATTGCTGTTTATATGTAACACTAGTGCAAACCACATTCACAATGGAAATAGAGTGTCACACCACCAAACCAGAACGACGGAAACGTTCGGGGGCGGAGGACATCATGTACAATATCACAACAATTGCAGAATAGTAATTAAAGTAAACACAACCATTACATTGAATAAGAAAAGTATTTACATTTTTTCGATACATAGTTTGTATGACATAAAAAATGTATAACAAAAGTGTAAAAGACGCGACTCTAAAATCTTTGTCTACCGGTTTCCTGAGAATACAAGTTGTTTTGAAAGTGTATCAACATTTAAGTTGGTGTATCAACATGTAATGTAGCCTTAGGCCTTAAGACCAAAATGTATGTTGTTATTGTACTCTGTAGTAGTGTATGTAGTCTTATTAGTGAATAAAACCATATAAGGTACGCTTTCCCTAACTATATGTAGTACTAGTGTACTCTATACTAGGAAAATATCATATCATAGTAGTGTTTATTATAAAACCTTTATATGAAAAACCTTGATACCACCAATGGTAATGTATTGTAGTGTATTGTTTGAAGACCCTTTGTATGTATGCTTGAATACCACCAGTTGTAATGTATAGTAGTGTACTGTTTGAAAACCTTCGTATGAATCCCTGGATACCACTAGTAGTAATGTATAGTAGTGTACTGCTTGAAAACCATTTGTATGTATGCTTGGATACCACTAGCTATAATGTATAGTAGTGTACTATTTGAAAAACTTTTGTATGTATGTATGGATACCACCAGTTGTAATGTATAGTAGTGTACTATTTGAAAACCTTTGTATGATCCCTGGATACCACCGGTAGTAATGTTTAGTAGTGTACTGTAGTTTTTTTTAATTAAATAAAGCCATTGAAGTAGTGTTAATCCCGTAAACAAATGTTTTAGTTAATACTGTTGTGAGTTTCATATAACCATGCTAAACTTACTAGTACCTCTACGACGTTCTTCAAGAGTCGGAATGTCATGACGTTTGTCACCCCAAGCCTGCCGGCCTAACTGTGGCTAACAATTTAGCTGCGGGGTTGTCAATTCCGTATAGATCTATACACAAAGTCATACTCTCCCTCCAGGAGATTCTGGTCATACTATATAGAACTTAGACCCGTACCCCAAGGGGTACAATTAAAGTAGTGTCTCACAGCCCTGTATTTACTAGTTTACGTATAGTGTAGTAGTGCTCTCTTGTACTTGAAACTGTATGTATTACCTTGTAATATCGTACTTTGTAATGTAAAATAATTATACTTCAATAATTATTTAGTAGTGTATCCTTGAATCAATGTAAAATGGAGTAGTGTTTCCTAAACTGTACATATTATAATTTTAATGTATGTTCTTATATCGGTTCTTGTACTTAGTAAATTAGTGTAGTAGCTCACAAACTTTACCAATTATAGTTTAAATGTGATGTTCTGTAATGCACTGAAAACCATTGCAATTTAACTGTATGTAAGAAGCATTGGAAAGCACTCTTTTGGTCGACATGTTACAAAAATATAAACATATATTTTTATAAAATTTAGTGATTAATCGATTTGAATCAATTGTAGAATGGTTTTGAAATTTTTTTGAATATTAACACAAGAATCCTTGTGTTTTACTTGTATTCCTCCCTAAAAACACTGAAAAAACAGTGAAAATGTAGGGGTATGCACTCACATCTAGTGCATGATTGAGTTGGATGGTGTATACTGAAAAGATGATCATCGAGCTAGCGTACGTAGGAAGAACGGTATCCTAGAATTGTTTAAACACATCATCGTATTTAAATTAGTGAAATAATAAATTAAAATGTTAGACAACACTTGATTTATGTAAGGAATTTCTTGAAAGGATTACCGAAACTGGTATGAAGTGTTGAGAAGGGTTTTTGGTTAAGGCCCCACCAAAATCCTTGATTTTGGTCCTAAATCCTAAACCGAGAACTAGGTTCTCGGTCTTGAATGAGTTTTCTGTCAGGAACATGTTCTCGGTACAAGGTGTTTTCGGCTAGCTTGAAGATTTGAAGATTGTTTTTGGTGCTCTTGGTGAAAATTATGAAGATTTTCTTTGAAGGTATGAATGTTCTTGGATGATACTTGAGAGAAAAATGGAAGTGTTTTCGAGTGAAAGAGTGTGAAAATGACTTATTTTTCGGGGCAACATATATATTGCGACTCGGTTTACGGCCGAAAAAGGGGGTTCTCGGCCGAAATCCATTTTCGGTCCGAGATCTGTTCACGGTAGGGAAGGTTTTCGGTCCGAGGTTCTCGGTTCCAAAGGGAAACTTTGGTTTTTAAGTGTATTTTATTCCAAATACTTATATAAAAAC